TTATGATCACGTCCAGTAGCATCATAAACATTAAAGATCACGTCCAGTTTGCACTCATAACATTATGATCACGTCCAACAACACTCATAACATTATGAAACACGTCCAGTAGCCCTCATAACATTATGATCACGTCCGTGCACTCATAACATTATGATCACATCCAGTAGCACTCATAACATTATGATCACATCCAGTAGCACTCATAACATTATGATCACATCCAGTAGCACTCATAACATTATGATCACGTCCAGTAGCACTCATAACATTATCATCACGTTTGCATAGCATGCATGCAGAGTAGAGTTGCTGGGTGCTTGGGGATATAAGCTTCTCGGATAATTGAGTTAGAGATGACAGCAGTTATGGGATACCCGGGATACTTTTCGGATCATTTATGTATAGGCGGTTGTTTATTCCTGTAATATTTTCTGTCCATTTTTTAAAGCCGGTTTGTGGGGCCGGTGTTATGAGGACAATGTTGCTCGTAATGTAACAATTTTGTTCCACTCTTAATGGATGGTGGTTAAAGTCTATATATCAACTTGCACTGGTTGACGGGTAACAGAGCCATTACTCCTTTCCAGGTTGTACAGCATCCTTTCCAGGATGTACAGCATCCTTTCCAGGATGCTGTACATCCTGTACAACACCAATTAATTGGATGGGGGATGCACTAGTCTTCGCACTGAATTATTCACGCTAGTTAAGTGATGACGTAAATAGAAAGCTGCATTGCAGATGGTGACATCGTTACTTTGCTAGCACAACACCACACTGGCATTTATCCGGTGGAGACGATAGTGACACGTAACTAAGAGATGCAATAATAACCAGTAACCAACAGAAACCCATATTGTCAGTGTTGCTTTCTCTGGGAAGGTTATTTTTCAAAAGGACGCATTTCAACTGACTCAGTATATATGTATAGATAAATGGTTCTGAGAACCTACACGAGGACATGAAAGGGTGTTTGGAACAAAACTGCTTATAATACCAGCTGGGATAAACAAGTACAATATATTAGATTTGCAGTTACAAAAGTCTTAAGTAGGCAGTCGATCAAGGATATACCGTTTTCATGATTTCTTGAGTAAATCCGACAGCTGAGTTAGCACAAAAGAACCCTGTCGATTATGTGCGCTCTGGAGATCTAAAAGCACAGGACAACAAAATCAGTTACTAACACACAAAATTGAGTTATTTTTGGGGATGGACCATTGATCACCATATCGACCCCAGCCCGATATCTTAATCAAGTCAAACCAGTAATCGTCTTTCTAGGTAAAGCCTGAAGACGAGACACTCTAGTATGAGCTTCACCACCAGCATGGGTATCTGCTGGAGATTCCATCCCTTCGGACTCCTCTCTACGATCAGAATCAGAAATTTCTATATTTCTACTTTCTCATGATAAGACTATACGTTCTAACTACCTCAGGAAACAACTCCCAGGTAATTAACTCTCGAAACCATACCCCCGGCCGGGATTGAACCCGCGGTCATAGAGTCTCAAAACTCCAGCCCGTCGCGCTAGCCACTAGACCAGCTAGCCACAATAAGATTCATCCAACTAGGTATATTTCTACACCATAGGAAAGTTAGCACAGGCACCTCTGTGACCACAAATGCAAGTTTTTACAGACGAATCTCCAGCTAGCGTGGCCGTGACGAACTCTAGCTCAAGTCCCTTCACTGCCGTCAACATGACTTAAGAAATCGTAATGACACGATTGCAAATAAACCATACCCCCGGCCGGGATTGAACCCGCGGTCATAGAGTCTCAAAACTCCAGCCCGTCGCGCTAGCCACTAGACCAGCTAGCCACAATAAGATTCATCCAACTAGGTATATTTCTACACCATAGGAAAGTTTAGCACAGGCACCTCTGTGACCACAAATGCAAGTTTTTACAGACGAATCTCCAGCTAGCGTGGCCGTGACGAACTCTAGCTCAAGTCCCTTCACTGCCGTCAACATGACTTAAGAAATCGTAATGACACGATTGCAAATAAACCATACCCCCGGCCGGGATTGAACCCGCGGTCATAGAGTCTCAAAACTCCAGCCCGTCGCGCTAGCCACTAGACCAGCTAGCCACAATAAGATTCATCCAACTAGGTATATTTCTACACCATAGGAAAGTTAGCACAGGCACCTCTGTGACCACAAATGCAAGTTTTTACAGACGAATCTCCAGCCTGTGCTAACTTTCCTATGGTGTAGAAATATACCTAGTTGGATGAATCTTATTGTGGCTAGCTGGTCTAGTGGCTAACGCGACGGGCTGGAGTTTTGAGACTCTATGACCGCGGGTTCAATCCCGGCCGGGGGTATGGTTTATTTGCAATCGTGTCATTACGATTTCTTAAGTCAAATTAACTCTCGGACCGTCGCAGCAATGCGTCTGTACATATTAGATGCTCCCATATAACTAGTCATTTTCGATAGTTTTTCGCACAGACAACGATAAACGTTACCTTGTCATATCAGAAGCTCGTCTAAATACCCATCAACGGAGGAATAGAGAACATGAAACTATTATAACATTGCACAAATATCTACGGAGGTACATTCATAAGTATATATATACACCTGTGTTGATAGATAATAAGGTTATCAACACCTCCACATACAACCGTGGGGAATATGACTGACACCTCGACGCTAAGAACTGAGAGATTATCAAATAAAAATCATAATGAGACTAAAAATGCAAGATCCACAAAAGGGACAATGAGACAGGACCAGCCATACAAAGTATAAAACACTCCTACTAGATAACCCAATATACAGAGTTTGGTGTGTGTGTGTGTGTGTGTGTGTGTGTGTGTGTGTGTGTGTGTGTGTGTGTGTGTGTGTGTGTGTGTGTGTGAGAGAGAGAGAGAGAGAGAGAGAGAGAGAGAGAGAGAGAGAGAGAGAGAGAATGAGTTCGATGTTTATGTGAGAGGTCAGAGACCTCCAATTTCAACTGTATCTTGAGACCCAGTGACTGTTGTGCCGCGGCTTGTCCACAGCTCAGAGAAGTGCCCAGAGTGATTGAATGGCTATACCACACTGAGGTGCTCACCTGCCACTACAATTTACGTATCAATTACGCATTGGATATTTTTTATACAGTGCACATATTTTCTGATTTGTTTCGGCTTTCAAGAACAAACACCACTAGGCGCAATATGCTACTTTGATGATAACCTGACTAGAAGATAACCTGACTTACCTAGAAGAAGACAAGTCACATACCTAGCAAATAACGATAGTCACTTACAAAAACGCCGACAGAATCATCTATCTGGGAAACCACTGTAACACATTATGCCTAGCAGAGGACGACACCATTGCTTACCTACTATAAACGACATTGTAACATGAGAGTAAGACACATGTGCAACATCTGGGTATCTTTATTGTAGATGTTGCACATGTGTCTTACTCTCATCTTGTCGGTATTATATACCATTTCGTACACGACATTGTAACATACTTAGTAGAAGACGACAATTGACAGCATCACTAACCTAGCAAAGAACGATAGTGATAATTAACTAGCCGAAGACTACAGCTCCATTTACTACTGGAAGATAGTAGCGTCACCTATCAGAAGACAGCGTCACTTAGCAGAGCACAACAGAACCATTTACCTAGCAAATGTGTCACCTAGCAAAAGACGACAGTGTTACTTACCAAACTGAAGATCACACGTTCACTTGCCATGCAAAATACGACAGCATTTTGCAGGGCAAGTGAAGAGAGTCCTTGAAATATACATTCTGTAACAATAGCCCAAGCATACTTCCTTGTTTAGCGCTTGCACCAATAGAATGTCTTGTTGACTGTCCCATTGAGAACTACCTTGAAGGTAGGCATAGTGCAGAACCAGCTACTCCGAGTGCTTGTGGTGTTACCAAGAACCCTTGGTGCCATACTGGGTCGAAAGCCCCAGGAATGTACAACAGCTGATCTTGGATTCAACCAATGACTGGTGCCACTTATTGGAGATGGAGAGGTTTAACAGTAGATCAGCAGCTGAGTGACATTTAATGTTAGTCTTAAAACGCTGTCGTCTTCCATGAGATTATTTTCTCAAGATTCTTGCCAGTGATTGACAGAAGTGACATTGGTCTGTAGTTGCTGATTTCCGCTCTGCTCTTTATTTTATGAACAACGACTACATTTGCCTCTTGCTAGGCAGTGCTGATAGATGCAAGTTAGAGGTGATCCTAGTTGGTGTGCACATCTACTCTAGACTCTTGAACTCAACTTATCTACACCCACAGCCTTTCATTGTTCCAGGGAGAAAATGCACTTTATCCTGCCTTATCGTCACAACTGACAGCCTTGACTTAGTTCTTGCGGCTAGCCAAGGAGATTTTCTTGCTGGATCAGGAGCTTGCATCTTGGCAGCAAAATATTCGGCAAATAGGTCAGTTTTCTCCTGGCTGCTGGATGAGGTGGTCCCATACTGCCGATTTAGAGGTGGAATAATTTCATCAGGAGCCCACTTTACCTGACGCCAGTTTTCTTTTTGTGTCAGCCTCCCATCTAGACATGGCGCACTTTTGGACTTCTTTCATTTACTAACATGGCTGCCTGTGCACGTTCCTATTATTGATAATGGGATGGCTTATATACATAGCAGTAGATGACAACGTCACTTTTCTAGCAGATATCAGCATAATTTACCTAGCAGAAGACGTCAGATCCACTTACCTTTCAGAAGACGATAAATTCACCAAGCTGATGACGACAGCGTCACATACCTAGCAAAAGACGACAATACCATTTACCTATCGGAAGACGACATCATCATTTTCGTAGCTGAAGACGATAGCTCTCTTTATCTAGCAAAAGACGGCGCCATCACTTACCTATTAGAGGACGACAGCGTCACTTTCCTCGCAGAAGACAGTCATTTGCTTTGTAGAAGATGACAGCGTCACTTACATACCAGAAAATGACAACACAATTTACCTACCCAAAAATTACAGCAACTTACCAATAACTGTGAGATTTATCTTAGAATTGCGTGTCGGAGACTTCTTGAAGTCAACTCGGCAGCGATAGAGACCATCATCCGACCCCAAAACGTTTCGGTAGAGCCCAGGAAACCCAAATTTCATTTTAAAAACTTGGCCCTTTTTTGAGCACTGCGAGTGGCTGGTTTTTGGGGGCTGGTGATACGTCGTTGCGCATGTAAAACTCTGAAAAAAGAGAAGATGTAGTGAAAAAATAATCTGAAGATGATGGAACAATTACAAGGGACCTTTAACACAAAACAGCGGGGAACAATTCAAGTCCATTTCTTATACTGGGCTGCGACAATACAAAATCCCCGCAATATAAAGGTCAAATAATTTACCAAACACTCGATGCCGCAGATGGAAAAATTTAGCCATCTCTTATTTTTTTTTTTTTATCTCGGGAAAAATCTAATAAACAAAGTAAATACAGTAACTTGGGAAAAAATACGGGGGAAAACACCGGAAGGGCGGCATTATAAAACCCAAGTATATCTTTAAAACCTTCACCATGAAGTGTACTAGAAAGATTCTAACATATGGGAAATTTTAAAAACGCAGGGAAATTAGGTGGGTACCACTGAGGCCCCCATAGCAAAATTTTAGGAAAAAACTCTTTCCACCAGGGGCCCCGTGACGAGATTTTAGTTCACGACCCTTCAGTTCCCCCTTCTTTTTATAGATAAAAAACTTAGTGAACATTGTAAAAAAACACAGCTGGATAGGTTGATGACTGCCGTGCCCAGGGGTTATTCTAATGAATTTGTTGAGATTACAATCATTTAATATTGGGTTTCATTTACAAAAACCTACAGTAAGTCATTAGTGCGTGACAATTTGTGGTCCTTATGTGACTGAGTTAATAATGAGGAATATTCCCCAAGATGTAAGATATGATGGAGAGAAGGAGAGAGAGAATGTGGGGAAAAGGCTGTGGGGGACCGGAGAATTTTCCCGGGGGGCAAAGCCCCCGCGGGCCCGGGCTGTGACCAGGCCTCCTTAGGTCAGTGTCCCAGGATGCGACCCACACCAGTCGACTAACACCCAGGTACCCATTTTACTGATGGGGAACATAGACAACAGGTTGAAAGAAACACGTCCAATGTTTCTACTCTGGCTGGGAATCGAACCCAGGCCCTCGCCGTGTGAAGCGAGAGCGTTAACCACCAGGCCACCAGAGCCCACACAAAATTGTTGAAATAAAAGAGTGGAAAAAATTTTTGAGAAAGTAAAATGATGGCTGTGACAGAGTCGAGTGAGTAAGTATGTCTCTCATACCTCTCTCACTCAGTCCTTCATTTCCTTTCTCTCTCTCTCTCTCTCTCTCTCCCTCTCTCTATCTCTCTCTCTCTCTCTATCTATCTATCTATCTCTTCTATTCTTTCCCACTCTACCTCATTTTTTCATGCATCTTTCACTCTCTCATTACTTTCCTCCTCACTCCCTCTTTCTCTCTATACTTTCATTGCACTTCCCTCCATCACTATATATTTGCTCTCCTTCATTTATTCCAAATACCTTTCCAGCCTCTTTCACTGCGTCTTTCTTTTCCCCTCGCAACTCTTTACATTCTTTCATTTCTGTCTCCTTCACTCCTTTCATTCACTTACTTCTCTCTGCTTCTATAACTCTCCTCATCTCTTTCTTTCCAGCTCCATTGTTCCTTCACTCATTCGTTCCTTTCTTCCTTACTCAATTCCTCCTCCTTCTCCTTCTGCTCTCTCTCTCTCTCTCTCTCTCTCTCTCTCTCTCTCTCTCTCTCTCTCTCTCTCTCTCTCTCTCTCTCTCTCTCTCTCTCTCTCTCTCTCTCTCTCTCTCTCTCTCTCTCTCTCTCCATATTTATACAGTCTTTGACAAGGTTACGATAAGGATTCCTAACTTTATTGACAAGCTAGAAGCTGTTACCTACATCAGCTCATTTGAAAGAATTTTTGTTATGAGACATACAAGTAGGGAACAGAATGAAGTTGGAGCCATCTCTAGGCCAGCACTTTCATTTGATCAACTGACTTATCTCGTTAATATCATTATGCTGTACGAATGTGTTCCAAACCCGAGTCGTCCTGGGGATAAATGATCTCAGATGAAGAGATGTTCTGGAGAATAGTACAGCCACAGTGACGTTCCTGCTTTCTGCCCGTCTTGTGGTATAGAAGCTTGCTTCTCGCTGTCCTCAAAGTGGAGCCAAGTGTAGTATTTTGACAATGTTGGCCTTGTACTTAACAGTAAGGCCGCCCACATCCCTCCTGTCTTGAAGGCTCTGTTGGAATGGCAGATCTATCCAGAACTAATCCAGGCTAGTGATGAGACGTCTTGCCCTGTTCTCTACTCGGTCAAGCAGTCGCAGATGAGATGGGGATAGGCAAACCAAGAAAGTGGAGCATACTCAAGGTGTGAGCGTACTTGTGCTTCATACAGAATCTTGCAACCCCTACTGTCAAGCAGATGCGAGATACGTCGAAGTGCCGTAAGCTTCCTGGCTGCCTTGTTTACAATATTTACAACGTGGTTCTTAATGGTCAGTTTGGAATAAAATTTCACCCCAAGGATATCAACTTTTTCCCCTGGTACCAACATTCTCCCATTCATCCTTACTATTGCTCCGGCATATATGCATCATGGTGCCTAGAGACCATCATCACTTGTGTTTTCTCAGGTGCAAATGTTACCTGCCATCGGTTTCCCCAAACCGATATAGCTCTTAGCTGGTGATTGATGTAGCTTTGAACAGCTGGCATTTCTTCTCTTGGATAAGTAAATGTCAGAGTACAGTCGTCTATATATGCATGGGATTCAGGGATGAGACGAAGAAGGTCATTAAAGTAGACATTCCATAACAATGGCCTAGGTACACTTCCTTGTTGAACACTTGCCCCAATAGAATGTCTTGCTGATTCTGTTCCATTGAGAACTACCCAGTGCTTGTAATTTTGCCAAGAGACCCCTGGTGTCACACTCGGTCGAAAGCACAAGCAAGCAATGTCCAGTGCTACCACACAGCTGACTTTGGATTCTTCCAGTAACTGGAGCCACTTAGTGGAGAGGTTTAACAACAGATCAACAGCAGAGTAACCTTTCCTGAAGCCATATTGTCGGTAACAAAGTAGTGAGTGGTAGTCAAAAAACTCTGTCATTTGTCTTGAGACTATTGTCTCAAGGATCTTGCCAGTAATAGACAGGAGTGACACTGGTCTGTAGGTGCTGAGTTCTGTTTTGCTCTTCTTATTCGTGAACAGGGACTATATTTGCCTCTTTCCAAAGAGAAGGCAATTTACACTGTACTAGGCAGTGCCGAAAGATTCGAGATGAAGGTGCTGCTAGCTGGTCTGCACATCTTAGCAATCTTGGGCTCAACTTGTCTGGGCCCAGAGCCTTTCCTTGGTCAAGCGATTTAAGAAGATGCACCTCCTCCTGCTTTATTGTCACCACTTGCATTTTGGTAGCAAAGTGTTCGGAAAAGGGGTCCGCTTTTTCTTAACTACTAGTACAGGTGGTCTCATCCTTTTGATTTAGAGATGGAATGAGTTCATCAGGCAGATAACCTTGTCCGTCCTTGACCAGGGACCAACAGGTTTTGGAACCTACTCTACCTGATGCTAGCTTCCTTTTAGTGTCCACCTCCCATTTACAGATTGCCCACTTTTGAATTTCACCCATATGCCTACAGGCTTGCCTGTGCAAGTTCCTGTTGTAGGTACTACGATGTCTTTTTATACCTTCGACATGCCTTGTACCTAGAAGTAGCAGCCTCTCTACAACGAAAGGCTGACCTGTAGGCTTCGTCACATACTGCCGGTGAGGGAAATGTTTTTATTGTAGATTAAGGATGTGTCCAGTGAAGGCTTTCACTTGGTTGTCAACATCCCCTTGGAGAAGAGCATTCCAATCGATTTTGGCGAGCTCAGAGCAAAGGGCTGGCCAATTACCTCTTTCCCATAGCCAGGTTGTGCGTGTGGACTCCTCACCTCGTTCTGTTGGGATCTTGAGTGTCGTAGAAACAGCCTTGTTGTCAGACGATCCAACATAGCCGAGGGGTTGACAAGTGACTATGCCGTCTGCCAGATCACTCACTACTGGGTCAAGGGAGGAGCCAAAGATATGAGTAGGGAAATCAACAAAGTTTCTCATGTCAAACACTGCAAGAAGGTCATCAAAGTCCCTCTGTATAAGGTGCTGGTTGAGGTCACCAACAATTATAATATGTTGACACTTGTGTTGTAGCAGAAGGGAGTCCACATTTTCCATTAGGAAGTTGATGGGGTCTGCATGTTGCCACTGAGGTCTGTACATTGCACATACTAGTACAGAGGTACTAGTGTTTATGCATAGCTTGATGAACATGATTTGAAGATGAGTATAGATGGCAACATCAATATATAGAGTTGAAGAACAACCTGAGGACTTCTATTATTTATACCTCTAGATATGAAGCCAAGAATTCTGTTAGCTTTATTGAGAATACTAATGCACTGTTGTCTTGGTTTTAGATTACTGCTAACCAGAACTCCTAAATCCTATTCGCAATCAGTAGAATTAAGATCTACATTATTTAGTTTATATGTGGCATGGTTATTTAACTGTCCAACATTTAGAACTTTGCATTTGTCAATATTAAACTGCATCTGCCACTTCTCCGACCATTGCATCAGTCTATTCAAATCATTCTGGAGTGCTCTAGTGTCCTCATTAGAATGAATTGGATGGCCTATTTTGGTGTCATCAGCAAATTTGCTTACGTCGGTATTTATTACCTTATCTATGTCGTTTATGTAAATTGTTAACAACAACGGGCCCAACATTGGCCCCTGAGAAACACCGCTTGTGACGTGCCCCCATTCTGATTTCTTCCCATTTATGCAAACTCTTTGCTGCCTATTTGTCAGCCATGCCTCTACCCAGGAAAAAATTTCTCCTCCTATTCCGTGTGCCTTAAGTTTCCTCAATAGCCTCTGATGTGTAACTCTATCGAAAGCCTTACTGAAGTCCATATACACAATATCATATTCATTACTATGATCTACCTCCTCAAACACCTTAGGAAAAAAGTTATAAATTCAAAGAGGGGGAACGCCCCTTCGTATAACCGGTTGAGATTCATAAAT